AAGTGTAAAGTTTTTACAAATCCAAAATGCCCTGCTGATTTTGTGTCATGGCAAAGTTGCATGAAAGTTAGTCTTTGAGTTGTTGGTATATATAACTTTTCCCCTACCCAAGGCAATCCGTCTCTCATTGTGCACACATGTTTGTTTTTCTGGAACCAATCATCTGTTTCCAAACTTTTTCTGAATTCAATCCCAGTTTGGCTGTCCAGTTGTGGTTTTATTTTGGCTTGGGTTCTTGTGGTTACTGGCGCTGCCAGTTGTGATTCTGCCATTATTGGTCTAGAGTCTGTGGTTCGTGCGCTGTTATATTGGGGCATGCGAGATAGTGCATCTGCCAGGAAGTTCTTTCTTCCTGGTAAATGTTTGAGCTTAAATTGGAATTGGTGAAAATGCTGGGACCAGCGGGCTTGTTTGGGATTGAGTTTCCTGGAAGTTTTCAGGGCTTCTAAATTTTTGTGATCAGTCCATACCTGGAAGGGGATTTTGTTGCCTTCCAGGAACTGTCGCCACGTGAGTAATGCCCAACGTATCCCATAAGCCTCCTTCTCCCATACGGGCCAGCGCTGTTCTGTTTCCGTGAGTTTCTTAGATGTATATGCACAGGGTTGCAATACTGCATCATCATTTTCTTGTAATAGCACAGCCCCCACTGCCACATCACTTGCATCTGCCTGTATTATGAAGGGCTTGTCCATATCTGGGTGCCTTAGTACTGGTTCGGCAGAAAAAAGTCTCTTTAGTCTCTCAAACGCTGCTTGGCACTCCATTGTCCATGTTAGTGGCTGGCTAGGTTTTACTGAGGATGTTCCCTTCGTTTTTAGTAAGTTGGTGAGGGGCAAGGCTATCTGTGCAAATGAGGGGATGAATTGGCGGTAAAAATTTGCAAAGCCCAGGAAACTTTGTAGTTGCTTTCTTGTGCGGGGTGGTGCCCATTCTAATACTGCTCTGACCTTCTCTGGGTCCATTTCAATGCCCTGTGGGGATATGCGATAGCCTAGGTAGTCTATCCTTTCCTGGTGGAATTCGCATTTTGAGAGTTTGGCATATAGGTGAGCGGCTCGCAGCTTCTTTAAAACCGCTCTGACAAGTTTGACGTGTTCTTCTTTTGTTTCAGTAAAGATAAGAATGTCGTCCAAGTAAACAAGGACCCCCTTAAACAGGTGCTCCCTTAGAACGTCATTGATTAATTGCATAAAGACTGCAGGGCCCCCTTGTAATCCAAATGGCAAGACTTTGAATTGATAGCACCCCATGGGGCAGTTAAATGCAGTCTTCCATTCGTCCCCTTCCTTGATTCTCACGCGATAGTAAGCTTCCCTTAAGTCTAGTTTAGAAAAAATTTTCCCTTTCGATAGGTGTGACAGCATGTCTTTCATGAGGGGCAGCGGGTATAGGTTGCTTTCACTGATTGTGTTCAGGGCCCTATAATCCACGCATAAACGTAAAGAGCCATCCTTCTTCTCTCTAAAAAGGACCGGGGCAGCCACTTTAGGCTTAGCTGGTTCAATGAAACCTCTCTCCAGGTTTTTTTTTATAAATCTTTCCATTTCCTCCTTCTCCTTTGGGCTCATGGAGTATAATCTGGGTTTCGGGAGTTTTGCCCCAGGCTTGAATTCAATGGTACAGTCTGTGGGTCGGTGGGGGGGAAGCTCATTCGCCCTCTCCTCACTGAAGACTTCAGCAAGGTCCCTATATTCCTCTGGTATTTCTGTTAATCTTTTTTCCTCTCCTATGGATGCTTTTTCTATTCTTGATTCTGGTAGCCTCTCTTGGGGTTTTAAGTCCATAGGGTCCCCCTTCGGGAATTTGATTTCTGTCGTCCTCCAATTTACCCAGGGGTTCCATTTTTTCAACCATTCCATCCCTAGAATCATTGGGCATTCCATACCTGGGGTCACCACAAACGTTAAGTCCTCTTCATGGTTGCCCAGGGAGAGGTGTATTGGCAGAGTGGCTAGGGTAGCTGGCACCCCCCCTGCTATGGATCCATCTAGCTGGCCAAATGAGATTGGTTGTTCCAGTCTCCTGGATGGGATGCCCAGATTCCCCACTAGTGTTGGGCTAATGAGGCAGCGGGTGCAGCCAGAGTCTATTAAGGCTTTCACCTTCACAGCTTCGGGCATGGGGGGGATTAATATAGTCACTGTTTTGAAGATGGGTGTGATGCGTCCACTTACCAGGGGTTCGCCTTCCGAGCTGTCATCTGAGGCATCCACCGTCCCTGTGGTGTAGGCTGGAGTTCTTTCCCCTTGGTGAGCAGAGGTGGGGTTTTCTGCAATTTCCATCATTTTCATGGCTGTTTCTTTTGGCTTAGCTGAATACCCTCTGGGTTTGTTGATTGGGGATCTGTCTGGGTTGTGCTGGGGGGCCTTTGAGCGGCATTCTACAGCTCGATGCCCTTCTCTTCCGCACTTGAAACACCCCATCTGCTTCTTGGCTGTATCCGATGATTTCACCGGTTGGTGTGTCAGCTCAGGCGGGGGGCGGCTCCATTGTTTTCCTCGGCGATGCCTCTTCAATATGTCGATCTCTGCTTCCTCTGCCAAGACGTACCATTCCTCAAGTCGATGTGGGTCTCCTCGGGGCAGGCAAGCATCATATAGATCATAGTTTAGTCCGTCTTTGAAACGGCCAAGGAGGATGTCTTCTGGCCAATTCAGTTTGCTGGCAATGGCTCGGAATTCTTGTGTATACTCAGCCACTGGGCGTTTGCCCTGCCTCATCGTTGTTATTCTTTCACGGGCTTTGCGATCAGCCAGGGGGTCTTCAAATCGTCTTCTCAACGAGGACATGAAACGGTTGAAGTTACTGAGTTCTGGGGCATTGGAGTCATGCAGGTTCACCACCCAATCTGCAGCTGGTCCATCCAGGGCAGATTGCACGATCCGGATGCGGGCTTTGTCGCTGGGGATGTCCTGCCCATATTCCTCCATGTAGCTGAGGACTTGGGTTAGGAAAAACCCCAAGCGTGTTGGCTCCCCTTTGAATTTCACCTCCAACGGTGGACGTCTTGGAATGGATCGGTGCCTCCATTGTGGGTGGTAGTGTCTTCCGTCCAGATTTCCATCTGTGGTCCGGTAGGGGGTGGGAGCTCCTGGATCAGTAAATGTCCCTGGGGTTGCAGGTTCCACGTCCCCCTCGGTGTCTCTCCCTTTGTGGCTCCAGGAACTGGGGCGGGCGTAGGGCTCAGGAATCTCCTCTCCTAGGGAGCTGAGAGTTCTCTTCATCAGGTCAATAGCTCTCTCTAGGATCCAGTCTGAGTACGGCATACAGCTTCCTCCCTCTTCACTTGCGTGCAGGGATTTCTCCATCTCCTGCTTCCATTCTGGTTGCTTGGTCCCCCGTCTCAGGGTCACTTTTCTTGATTCCTTTCCCCACTCGCTTTTCTTTCCAACGCCCATCGACCAGCTAGGCTTGTGGTCCTGTGTCTCCACCACTTCTTCTTCTGAGAAATCTGGCCTCTCGGATCCCAACATCTGGCAAGGTTCCAACTGGGTCAGCGGCTCTCTTTCCAGGGAGTTTTCTCCCTCTCTTGCTTCGTTGTCTGACATGGTAAATTTTTGCAAAATCCCCCGGCAAGGGTCTACCTTCCAGGTGGATTAATTTTGCAAGTCCTGTCTAATGTAAGGACCCACCCCACTTTGCATCTTAAGAAGACAGAACTCTTGGAATAGCTCTTCCAACAGGAATCCTTTATTAAGAGAAAATGGTTGCAGGCATGCTAGACAGGACTTGGGGTTCAAGCTCTCCCATTCAAGGTTTTAAGGGGTTCCCCAGTAGTCCCACCCAATCAACCCCCCTTCCAGTGATAGTTTCAAGTATCACAATTCCATCCCCTTTCTTCTTCCGTCTGGATGGAGACTTCAGATAACTACATGAAAGGCAATTACTCTTCTTTGATATGTTAAAGCTTAGAGGCCACAATAAACACACATTCAGTCCTTTGAAGTGTGCTGAAGGAAGTGAGGGCCATAAAGCCCCTTTGCTCTCCCCCTTTTCTCCCTCTTATGGCAGAATCCAGAGAAGGCAGAATTGGGAGTTTCTATGTTTGATAATTAAAGATGAAATATAATTGGATTCTGACACACTTCCAGCTTCATCCCATGCCCTTCTCCTTGCCCGTGACTTGTCAGAAAGATTAGTTCTAAAGCCAGGTTTAGCAGATTTTGAGAAAAACCATGAGGGCTTTCTCCTGCTTCACTCCAAGTCTGATCTCAAGTCTGATCTCAACTCCTGCTCCTTAGTCACTAAGCTCACCCTTCTAGGCAACCATCGAAATTCCCATGTTGGGAGGGATTAATGGCTGTTGTCCTCCTGGGTGGGATGTTAAGTTCACCAATTCCTTTCTTTCAGTTGGCTATCAGTCTCTGGTAGACAGTATTTTAACTTGGCTGTGAGGATGGGTTCTAAAAGTCCTTAATGGGGACACGTATTTGTGTGGGGTCCTTGGTGCTCTCTGAGCTTGGTTGTTTTCTTGCAGATGTTTTATTACCCAAACTAGGCAACATCATCAGTACTGATGTTGCCTAGTTTGGATAATGAAACGTATGAAAAAACAAACAACCATGCTCAGAGAGCACCAAGGATCCCTTATTTCAACCCTGAGGTATAAATATTCCTTTATTGGTAATATGAACATGTTGCATTCATGCAAAACACCAAGGCACAATGTGGTAGGCTTGTGCTTTGGCGCGCCATGCAAATCCAGCCATCTATGATGTACGTATGGCTCAGAACCTCGTGTACCCCCAAGCAGAATGCTCGATCCTGGTTTAACAAAGATGAGCTTCATTTTATAAGCTCGGGTCCTAATCAGGAAACCCCTTTGAGTTCAACTAATCCCAGATTTCAGACAACGGTCTTCTCCGCTTACTAGCAGCAACCTGCGTCCTAAACCTCAAGGTTCACTTCCGGCAGAGAAGTCCACAAAGTTGCTCACGAGGTGTGAGTTGTAAAGCGCCTCGCTTCCTTCGGGCGGGTCTTGAGGGAACGGCAGGATCCCGCCAGCTCCGGGACGGGCGGGGAAAACCCCACCGCGCTCCGACGTGCCCATGGGCCTAGTTCAGCGCCTTGCACGCCCCGCCCCGCCTGACGGCAGCAGCGAGGAATGCGCTTCCGGAGGCGAAGAGGGAGCAGCGGCACTGGCGGGTCCGTCTGTCTCCTTTCGCGGGTCTGCCACACGGGAGAAGGATTGGAGGAGTGAGGGATCCGCCGGACGCCGCCCCGGAGAGAGCAGGCCCGGAGGAGAAGGGGTAGAAAGGAGCTTTCCTGCGCCGCCAGCCAGCTTCTCCTCGGCGCCAGACGCATCAGAGGCGAGCCCGGCCATGGCACGGGTAGGGCTGCGAGGGTTTGGAGGGGAGTGAGGAAGGGGGGCAAACGGCGGCAAAGCGATTCCTGTATCTCTCCTCCTTTTCACCTTTTTTCATGTGGATGGGCTGCGGGATGAGCGGGACGGAGCCCCCCCCATCTTATTCCCCTTATCCGAAGAATCCCCTGGGGTCCCTTTCCGGAGCCCCCCGGACTCAGGATCGGACTTTTAGTGTGGGGCGGGCGGCGGGGCTGCTAGAGAAGGGAGAAGATCTTGAGCTCCTGGAGTGAAATCTGAGGCGGGCTGGGAAGTAATGAAAGTCCTTCCCGAGGTCTTTTGTTCTGGCGCGGAAAGGGGAGGCGTGGATTCTCTCCCCCCCCCCAAACCGGCCCCCATGAATTGTCTTGGGGGGGGGGAACTAAAGGCTCCAAGCAAACCCAACAGCGATCTATGCTGCCTTAGTGGCGGATGGAAACTCGAGTTTTCCATGTAAGGATTCACACGATAGTAATATTAGTTTTCGATCCGCGTTTTTGCTCTTTGTGGAGTTTGATCTCGGGGTTAACCCTCAAGGGGCCTGCCTGCCTGCCTGGGAATAAGTTCATGAATGCAGCTGAGTAAACGTGCATGAAAAAAGCCCGGACGTTTGCAACTTCCTAATCCTAAAGCCCCCTAGTATTTTTATAAAAAGTAACTTCAAAATAGATCCAGGAGAAGTTATAACCAGTATAATTTTCTTTCAGCTATATTTACTTGCAGTTGAACTCATAGGATATCTTTGTACATTCTGTTTCCTGAAGATACTGCATTTCATTCCCCCAATGTTTTTGGTAGTAATATTTTTTTTCATTTGTCCTCTTGAGTATCTGATACAATTATAGTACTTGGAGCTTGCAGTAATATATTTACATACGAATATTAACAACTTTTTATAGAAACTTCCTCTTTGTCTCTGGGGAATGTTTAACACTGCATTTCCATTCCTAATATTTTTCTGTGTGATTTCATTCTTTTTTGAGACATTAAATTACCCTGATTAAAGTGTTCAGAAAATTGTGGGCCATTGAACCCTTCACCTACCTTTTGAAGTAGGTATTGACTCATAACTAAGCAAGATTTTTCTCTATCCAAACCAGCCCTTAGTTGCTGCATTGCTGTTTCTTTTGAAGTATTATTAGAAATGTCACTTTGGCATTGATTGCTATTGTTGTTCTAATAACATTGCAGGGGAAGGCACACTTGCTTGCCTATTTTGGCAAATTGGTTTTATCTTAGGCATCAGTTCAAATTATATTTGGCTGTGTTGTTGCAAGAACTAATTCCTTCTACTGGTTTTCAATTTATTAAAGAAGGCAGAGAATTATAACAATTCCTGGATTATGTTTGTAGAAACCAGTATTATTTACTTCAGCAAAAGACTGGCTTAAAAGTAAAATCAGGGTATACAATATTTTGGGGACTGAGATCCAAGAAGTAGATCATACTATAATAAAAGAAAGAGTGGGCTGTTAAAAAAAGAGTAATTTTGATTTAAATTTAAGTTTCAGCTTAATTTGAATTAAATACATATTGTTAATGATTACTTCTATATATTTAGTGATTTTTTCTGTCACATTAAATTATATAATTTGCTGGATGCTTCAAAAGCCACAGAATCTATTCTCTCCAACAGAACCTAGCATGAATATCATCTGCATTTCATCAAATTGCCAATTTTTTACCATCTTGTTTGATGAACAGTACTTGAAAGATTGCATACTATTTTGTGAACTTTGGTAGCACCTGGATTTGCCTGAAAATCAAGACAGTCTGGGTAGCATTGTGATTCTGAATTATTGTTGCTTTCAGATACACAAAACGAATTATTTCACTTGGTTCATATCCTATGATGACATGAAGCTGACTGAGTTAATTTGGGCTTTTATCTTAGGATCAGAAAATTTTATTGATGCCTCTGTTCTACTTTATTAATTGAAATATTGAAAGGCTGTAAACTTCTCAAAGTCCCAATCCTTTATTCCTTACAAGGATTTGCTAGGGACTGAAGGCAAAGGCAATATTTGCCCTCTTAGGAAAAAATCCAATTTTGCAAATATCTTCTCCGTTTGCTTCCTCCATCCTGGAAGTCTGAATCAGAAGCAAAATGGGGAATTCTTGCATGCAGGGGAGGGGGGACATGACTATGGAAATATAAATCTTTTTTATTCTAATAATAGCAGTAAAATAATCCTAACCAAAACGAACTATAATGAAATATTTATGGTCCCTGAAATGGATGAGAATGAATTATTTCCCTTTAGAAGCAATGGGAGAAAACCCAGAAAAGAAGAGATGGTGGTTTCTGATATACATATACAGAATTTTAGATTCATCCCTCCCTTCCTTGTCACAACTAGATTTATTTTTAAACATAAGATCCTTTAATTCAGAACTGATTTGCCATATGTTAAATAAATAAATCAGAACTGATTGTTAATAGGAAAAATTTCATTTTTCTATTGGGCAAATACAGTGTATATTATAGAACAGTCTGTCAAGTGACATTTAACTTATCTTTTCTGTCACTAGCCTTTAATTTTTATCAGTAATATAGAAGACTTAAACATTATACTTATCTTTTACATGCTAAGCATATATAAGACAACTCCATCTTGTCTTACATATATAATGTAAGACAAGACAGGATTATTGAAATAGAGATTTGTTTTGCCGGTGACTTTTCTGAGTCTCTGCTTCCAACAATTTTCAGAATTAATTTATCCGGACATTGTAGACAATTAAACACAGTAAATCTAGCCTGTTTGTGGTTGAAGAGTAAGATTGATATGTGTCTTAGTCTTCCATATGCTTGTTAATCATTATGCTAGCCTTTTGAAGGTTTTTTTTAAATGTTACAGCTAATATAAATTCCATGAAATATATAATAGAGAATGATATATGCTAATTTCACTTCTCTGGACCATGATTAAACTAGGAATCTAATTAGCAGTTCCAAATGGAAGAACTGTTGTTAACCAGAAAGATTTTCTGCCTCAGGCACCAAACTGCAGTATAAAAATCAAATAATGATAAAGCAGATTACTCACCAGGGTGTTGCAAAAAAAAAAATTGCTTAAGGAAATGAGTAAGCAGACTTACGTATCCTAAAAAATGAGTAGTCAGCTCTATAGACAATAGTTTCTTACTTTGTAATTAATACTGATGGATCTGGACTAATGACCTCCCATTCCCCATTTTTACCCTACAGAATAAATTAAAAGCAAAAATGCCTGAACAAATACCCTTCCCTTAACACCTGAACTTGTAACTGACTTTTTTTTCTTCCAGTTGTGAGAATATAAAAGGATTAAAATTTGGCTTCAGCTTATGTGTACAAGCTGATTCATTAAAAGTTAAACAGAATAAATTCCTCTTCTTTGAACATATTTAATTTCTAAATGCTGTAAGTGCTCACTGACAAATCAGGAGGAGTTGGTTGATTGATAATAGTATCCCCCTGTTTTAAAGGAGAGGACTTGCTTCAGTGATAAATAGGTATATATTGCATTCTGGAGACCCAGTTTTATACTTGTAACATCTGCAGATGGGAGTGGAAAAATTCTTCTGAATGTGTCTTCTGCCGTCAGCTTTTAAAATTAGTCTGTCCAGACACTGTAGATCAGAGATGGGAAACTATGGCCCCTTTATGACGTGGATTTCAACCCCGAGGGCTGGCTCAGGAATTCTGGGAGTTGAAGTCCACAAGTTATAAAAAGAGCATCGTTCCCCGCTCCTGTCAATGAACAAGAGTAGTTAGCAGACCATTCTCCAGTAGCGGGCTAGATCAAGCGTAGGCAACCTTGGCTCTTTTATGACTCGTGGACTTCAACTCCCAGAATTCCTGAGCCAGCATAGTATAGCTGGCTCAGGAATTCTGGGAATTGAAGTCCACGAGTCATAAAAGAGCCAAGGTTGCCTACCCCTGGGCTAGATGGACCAAAAGGTTGACCCAAGAAAAATTTCTTTAGTGTTCATTAGAACAGAGATCCCCAACCTTTTGAGCACCAGGGACTGGTTATGTGGAGAGAGATTTTTCCACAGATCGGAGGGGGCCTGGTTTTGTGTGCTGCCTGCATCCCAAGGATGGGGCTTTCCTTGTTTGTGTGGACTGGTTGCTGGCATGCTGCATCCCGGTACTGGTCCACAGGCCGGGGGTTGGGGACCCCTGCATTGGAATCATCAGCTATACAGCAATCCTCGGCTTATGACTGGTTGCTTAGCAACCACTTAAAGTTACAACCTACCTGGAAAGGGAACTTAAAACTCAGATTCAAAGTTTCGTTGGCTCTCACGCATGATCGCATGATTGCACTTTAACTGCTCAGCAACGAGGCCACATTTGGTGCTATTTGAAGCATCCTGTGGTTACATGACTGTTTTTTTGATGGTTTTGCTGAAAACCGACACTTACTTCCAGTTTTCAGTAAAACTGCACCATAGCAAACAGTAGATTTGTTCTTACAACTACTACGTTCACTTAACAACCATCAGAATATATGACCGTAACGGACAGGCTCCATTACAGTTGTCTAAGGATTACCTGTAGGATAATTTTGTCAAGAATAAATGTAGCCCGAATCTCCAGTAACAAACTTGGACATTGAATGGAATTCACTGCTTTTGTGGGATATGATAGACTTGTAATAACATGCATTTTGCATAAATGATTTATATATCATTGGAGAGATATCCTGGCTTTAGTATTACATGAAATATGCTCATATACATTGAAAACAGGTATATATTTTTAGAATAGTTTATTTTGTTCTCCTGCAAACTTTAACTTCTTAAGGTTTTTTTTCCTTTATTTAAACTGATTTGTAATTTCTGTGTTGTGTACAGAAAAGTCACATATGAATGAGAAAAAAGTAGTGCAGCAGTGGCCAAGAAGCTGGATTAAGATGGAGGGGGGGAGAGGAGAGGTTTAAGCACATCCTCAGCCACAGAAACTCACTCAGTGACTCAATGCTGCTTCCCCAGAGTGTT